ACGGGAATCGAACCTATACTTTCGACGTAATAACCGGTATACTATATACTATATTATAAAATTTAAAAAATATAAAAGGACCTAAATATAAATAATACTATATATCTTAATTACTTTAAAAAATAAAAGGCGTACTATCGGCGGTATTTTACGGGGTTAGGAAAGAAGGACCGGCTACGTCCGGGCTTAAGGAAAGATTAGGCGGCTAATCGAAGTTAGTAAAAGAGTCGAGGATAATACTAAGATCCGAAGGAGCGGTATTAATAGCCTCCTAATTTATAATTTTAAAAGTACTTATCGATTAAGCCCAATTAATAAAATATTATTTATTTAATTAATTAGTGGGAAACGTTAAACCGTTAGCCTCGTTTAGTAACTTTATACTTTAACGAAAAAGCTTAAAACCTTTGTTAATGTGTGGGTACTACTAAGTGCCTTACTTACTGCCCTATAGATTAATATTACAGTGGGCAGTACTGCTATAAGTAGTAATGGAACTTCCCGGCTTGGATCCCTTTAGAATATTCTTTATAAGGGACCCTTGAAGGCTTATAGGGCTACTGTGGCCTAAGGCTTAGTCAATGGATACTAGAACCTTCCAAAGTGGCTACAGGCTTACGTAGTAAGTTACTACAATAGTGTAATTTACAGGGTACCTTTGCTACTAAAGGTTCTATAGATTTCCATAAGTCTACACTAGACCCACCTAAGCCCACTAAATACCTAAAGTGGTATAGGGGCTTCCAGGGCCTACAGGACCCACAGTAGGCCTACGAAGGCCTATATATAAACCTCTCCTCTCTCCTGTAGAATAGTTCTCTTTCTTTCCTTAAGGGCAAAAGCTTAAAGCTAAGGCCAAAAGCCAAGGCCAAGGGTAATAAAGGCAATTCTTATTCCTTATACCTCGCTATATTATAGTGCTTTACCTTCCTTCGGCACTACCGTCGTATCCTTCCGCTTCTGCTTACGCACTACTATATTTTACAGCAACCCTATATAGGTTCTATATTATAGGCCTATCAGGGCTTACCAGCTAACAACCTTAATTATATATCGACGTACGCTACTTATATAAGCGAGTTAAAGTATTTAACGTTTCGGTTAATAAATTTTTTTTTATAATTATTTTATTATTAATTTTTTTTTATTTTAATAAATTTTTTATAATTACGGTTATTAATAAAAGGACGTACGGCTATAGTACTTAAGTATTTACGGGAGTCGGCTACGTTTAAACCGTTATACGATTTATTTATTTAAACGTAATTCGAATAATAATTCGACCCTTCCTTTATAATATAGTATCCTTAAGGTTTTATACGCTAATAACGAAAGTAAAATATAATTTTAATACCGTTTTAGTCGATCGAATCGGAAAAGACTATTTATTCGCGAGTCGTATTACGGTAGCGTTTCTTTACGCGCCCCGATATAGTTAGTAACGCTAGGTAAGCTTAAGGAAAGAAGGGGGAAAGGAAATATATATATAGTAAAAGAAAAGGCAGAAGTACTAAGGTATAAGGAATAGTAATAGCGAATCTTTCGGGACGAAAAATAAGGAGGGGGAGCATTATATTACAGACTAACTATATAGTAAGGCAGAGTGGGGACTATAGTAGGCCGTAGTAACTAATTAAGTAACAGATAACAGCGGGGCTATAGGATAGTAGGGCGCTTACCTCTTAGCAGAGGTAAGCCGGCTCGCTAAGAGCGCTAGGTGAGCGAGGTAAGCCAGGATGGATCACCAGGAGCGCTTAGTAATCGAGGTAATCTAAGTACGGAGGTACCTAGAGGATTAAGGTTTATATATACGGAGGAACTGGCCGGTATAGATAGACAGTTCCGCAGTATGCAATTCAAGCTTGTATTTACGGTATTTTGTGTTTACATCGAGACATTTTATTGTGCACTATTTAGCTGCACCGAACTAATTGTTAGAAGTTACCTTTGACCTATATCCCTTTCAGAGGTTCTGTATAGGGGTTCGTTACAATAAAGGACCTTTGAAGGCTTATTAGGGCTACTGTGGCCTAAGGCTTAGTT